TATATATATATATATATATATATATATATATATATATATATACATATATATATATATATATATATACACGGTATTTATATGTGTGTGTGTGAAACAGCCACTCATATCACTGCAGGAAACTTTTCTTTCTAGTTTTTATAGTGTTAAAAGTATAGTTTCCTCAAATGATTGGAGTAGCCAAAGATTGGGCACCACTGGCCACCCCCTGGCTCCACCACTGCACCTGGTGGTGGATAAAATAGTTCCCTCCACTCGCCAGGATCGTTCACTCAGTGCTGCCTCAGACAAGCAAAACAAACAAGCACACACTCTCTGTTCTTCTCCACAGTGCAACTGTTTCAGACTTGAATATCTTGCCCCAAAACATTAAGGTTTACTTGAGCTGTCTGTTTCAACTCCGGTTCAGAAAAACACTCATTCAAAACATTCACTGTTCAAATCCCTCAGCGATGGGGGACATCAGTGTAGTGCTTGTTTATATGCAAGTGTCAACTCTCTCGTGCACAAAACAGGCAGTGAGAAGTCACATTCTGGACCAGTTTAAGGTACAAAAGTCTGAGCTGGGCTACATGCTAAAACCAGTTAAATACAGCTCATCTGAAAAACAACAAATAAATATAGAGATTAAAATACAGCAAAGTTGAAAAGTTTGGACATGCCTGCATGTCTGTCTGAATGAAGTGTGCCCAAACGTTTGATTTGTCATTAATTCATTTGAACAAACAAACCTGCCATAAGAGTTGAAATGTTTGTTGGGGGAAGTCTTCATTCACGACTTCAAGACAAACACAGTCCCAGCTGTTTGTCTGAACCACAATCCTGTGATGTAACAAACTAAGCTTTATCCCCACTGGACGGGCACCACATTTAATTATGTTACTCCAAAAACTAATTAGAACATGTGAAGAATGGACAGTAAATAAAAGGGTGGTTTATTTGTCCCAGCGGACATGTTTGGTGTAACCTGCCGGCTCGAAGAGACCCATGTTTTACTCCTCTCAGCAGAATGCACGTGAACAGAACGTGTCCTTGTTTGAGCGAGTTCAGTCACAACGGTTGATCTCATACGGTTTGGCTCGGTACATCAACACTGTCCAAAGAAGAACATGTCATTCTTTTTAAAGAAAATACATGTTTTTCTTCAATTTTATGTGCTAAAGAAGACAAATTATGACAAATTCATAGAAATACTGTCTAAACAAAGACTTACACCCTGGGTTAGTAGAAGCATAAAATGACAGTGTATTCTGAAATACTACATTGGATCCAGTAGCTGTAAGTTTTATTACCAGGAGTCAGGACAACAATCTGCCTCAAAACTTGTTCATCTGGATCAAAACATCAGCACTGACACAGCTAATGGTGTGACTGTGCTGTTTTTATTACTGTACAAAGCAACTACTGATTTAAAATATAATAATAATATATATTTACCAATAAATTATAATAAAGTCTTATTATTTTAAATGTGTATAAAAGAATAAAAAAATTACACACATCATTATACGATTGTGAAAAAAAAGTCATGCATATTTACCATGCTAACACTTGCTCAGCTCGTCCTTGAATTTAAACTGATTTATTTCAAGGTTTCATAGAAAACACAAGGAGCTGTCCTATAGTCCTACCAGGACACATGGTGTGGACTTTACACACAAAACAATAGGGATGCACGATATTATCGGAATGGTATCGGGTGATATTAGCGTTAAAGTTCAATATTGGACATCGGCCACTCCATCAAAATAACTCACCGATACAAAAGGTGCTGTTTTTGTAAAACAACCCAGTGACAAGGACGCTGCAGCAGCAGCACAACGTGATGACGTCACATGCGCCTACCTGACCTGATCACGGCGGAGAGGAAGAAGCCAAAATGCCGGCGGTGTGGAAGTTTTTTTGTTGTCGAGGATGTCGGATTCTGAAGATTTATAGATTACGTTGAGCCTCGCTACATCGTCCCCAGTCAGAGATATTTTTCCGACGTAGCCTTACCCGAGTTACAAACCATCATTTCCGACGTCATTGAGAAGCTAACAGCTGATAGCACGACTTGTTGGGTGAGTTTTACCTCAGACATGTGGACGTCGTGTTAGCCCCGTTAGCGTGATTAGTCTTACGACACAATGAACAGACAAAAACTTTGAACTTAAAACGTCTGTCCTTCATGCACAGGAGTGCAGAGGATCCCACACTGCAGCTATAGGAACCTGGAACAAGCCTCCACAAGTGAGACAGCATCGCAGCTGACTAATGCTAATTAACAACATTTAACACTTCATTTAATATAAGTTAAAGTGCTATGCATATCATATGGCTGTTACTTAATATATGTCAGCAGATCTTACAGCTGTTACACAATTTTTGTAGCAAATAAGCCTAAATAAGAGTGCTATGTTCTGACAAAGGAAAGTATATGAAAAATATCTGTATCGGTTATCGGCCAAATAAGTTTTAGCATATCAGCCAAAAATCCAATCTCGTGCATCCGTACAAAACAACACAGTCACATCATTAACACACAAGGTCCTGTTCAGACAGACACACACACAGTCTACTTTCATCTCCCTATTGACTGTTTCACCTCCCAGTCCATCTAAAGCGGTAAAATCATGGTTTCCTCGTTACCTTTGGCAACAGTCATGACAGGTGAGTCCCAGTCAGCGTGCTGGAGCTGTCCCATGCAGACTGGGACCAGAACGACTCAGAGTCCACAGGTTCACTGTGAGAGCAGGACATCTTCCTGTCCATCTGATCATTTGTCTGTCTGCGCTGCTCTTTTCAGCGCTGCCTCCCACCCTCCTCCGTCATGGGGGGGGTGGGTTAAACAAAAGGCTCCATCACACTGACTCTAACCAAACAACTTTTTAAAATACAGAGATTTATATGTTTTTACAAGCCGAAATG